AAAACACCTCCCCCCCCCCCCCCCCCTCCCCGCCATCTCTTGTTTTGGTGTCCTGACACCAAAGAAAACAGTGAAATCCTCAGGGGGAAAAAAATAAATCTTATTTACAGGTGGTTGCATATATGAAAAAACATGCGTCCTTCTATTGGGCAACAAAGCTTTTAGAGAGCGAACAGCCGTGGAACCAGTGATTTCAGAGCAGCTGGTGGTGCGATGTAAACTCATGTTGCAAGAGTTGCCGTTCCCAGACAGACCGCCAGGCAAGGAAAAAACCCACTTATCTACAGCTGCAGCTTCAAAAAAATCAACTAGTTTTTTTATTTTTTTAAAAAAAATAAAGGAACAACCCTCCACAGGTCAAATTCTAAATAGAACATCGAAATATTAAGAAAAGTATCTGTCTTCGCCAAATTCTGGAAAAATTCACATGCCTCTCCCACCACACCATACAGGAGACTTCCTAGATGCTCTTTATTTGCATTTTCTCCAAATATTTTCTAAACTGTTTCCATCTGCACGGCCAGGCCGCAGGACTCTCCCCACAGCAGGCCTCTGCTTTACGTTACTGACCTTCTCCTGCTGCTGCATGCATTTGTAACAAAGAGTCTCAGTTTTGCTTGGAGCAGGCAAATAACATCAGCCCTTGATAAAAATATTAAGGCTCCCAGCCTACCGAGGCTTCTAAACACGCTTTACTTATATTCTTCAAGCAGCCTTGTATTTTCAGCAAGAATATTTACTTGTGGTTAAGCATAAACCTTTACAAGATCGAGGCCACAGCAGTTTATTTGCATCTTATTTTGCTACGCTGTGTAACTTAGGACGTTAAAAAGAAAGGCTGAGAAGCTTCTATTTCCTTTCAGGGCTTATTTTTCTATCTTACACCACTAGATGTCTAGCCAGCTTCACAGTTTGGCTGGAAGCAAGCAGTAGCCAAACAGTAACAGGACGACAAAGCTGCTCGGGTGGCAGTCAGCGTTTATGTACGTCGTGATGAAATGCAAGCAGGTGTTTTCTAGCAAGAGAGCTGAAAATGAAGCGGCATCACGCAGATGCATGCACAGAAGGAAGTGGGAGAGGGAGGCTAATGCCCCATGCCTGCTCAAGGGTGTGCTCGGGCTGACGTGGCTTTACAACAAACTAAGGGAGCAAACAAATCTGAGGGTGTCCTTTCCTTAAGCTGTTACTTAAGGATGCTTTAAAGAAAGGCAACATTTCTTCACATTTACAACTGCAGCAAAGCACGAGCGCCCTGGTGGGCCAGTGTTTCTGGGAATGGATCGCTTGCCCTGTAAGTGAAACTTCTGGCATTAACTTCCCCATTTCCCGATACCTCAAAGCATCCCGTGCTAAGGCACACAGAGCAACTGCCAATCTAGGCACTCAAAAAGCCAATTTAATGCCGAACTGCTCCTATATATCAACTGCAGTCCGAGAAACCCACAGGTCCAGCCTCAGCCCAAGCTCTCCAAGAAATCAAGACCCTGTCCTGTCCAGGGAACACAGTTATCTGGGCGGCATCAGGACACTGGCACAAGATGAGCCGACAACGGTAGAACAGAAGAGCGCAAAGGAGAATAAAAAGTGCAAAGTAGAAAGGCAGTTTTGGCTACCATTTGGATCAAGATTTTTTACGGAGCGTCTTCACTGCCTGCAAGTAAAACACCTCAGTGGAAATAAAAACGTAACGTGTTAAGGAAACCGAAAGTAATCTTGTTATCTGTTCCTATGCCTCCTTTTGCACACTGGCCAGGGAAGCAGCAATTTGCCTGTTACATTCCGATAGGCAACTGCTGCCCGAGTTATCAGCGTCTTATCTGCCATGTGGCAGGCAAGAGAAATACTAGAGGAACTGATCACGAAGTGTGTGTAAACACTCACATGGGGCTGAAACGAAGAAAATCTGGCTGCAATTAACAGAACCGCCGTTTCACACATTACTCCTAAGATGTGACAGCACGCGTAGGAGCACTTTTGTTTTAAGAGTAACAGGGCCTCCACGTATTCAGCCTCCGTGGTTTTGGTGAAAAGAGTTATTTTAAAACGGCACTCACAACTTAAAGGTTTTACCTAGATCTTCCTCAATCCCCAACTGCAGTTTCTTCCCCTCCATCTTTTCTATGTCTTCGTCATTAAACTTGTACCACTCGCCCGTCTGCGGATCCTTCACGTGGGCGATGTAGTGCCCCGAGTACGCGCTCACACCACGGTGTATGAGGACAGCACTAAGTTCATACACGTAGATGCCATCTGGAAGGAAAGCAGCAGTTATACAGTGCTCTGGATGAAATAGCGCAGGTCTTTTCTTTCTGAGAGCTTAATCTTTTCACAAGGTAGCGGACAAAGCCTGCACTTGAACTTGCATCTCTCCAAGACCTTGCTAAGTAGGATGTGGCTTCCACCCACTTAGCGAGGCAGTTATTTGAAACGCAGGCTTCAAACAACTCTTGACATAAGTTTCCATCAAAAAGGGGGTTCAGAGGAGATCACCTCTCATCCGCTGAAGGGCGGTGGATAAAGTTAATGAAACGCAGTGCACAAAACTCACTTTTTTGTTCCATAAAAGGCTCCATGTCAAGCAGCTCGGAGAAGCCAATGTAGGTGTTCAGCTTTTTCTTATGGCCAGTTTGCCTGTGCAGAGACAAAGCTTCGGTTCAGGGGACAGCGATAACAGTTCATATCTCAAAATAACTCCCCTGAAACCCACCGAGCACCCCTAGAGAAGCTCACGCACGCGCTCAACCCTCAGTCTCTCAAATTAATGCAGAAAGAGCACAGCAGATGACTTCCCAAAGAGCTTCCACGCAACCCAGGGCGCTCCCGCTTTTACAGCACACACTCCAGCGAGAAGCTTACCTGTCAAACACGAAACGCATCAGCTGCAGGTTGAGTGTGCAGGGAAGACTTAGCAGCCTGATCTTCCTCGTGGCGTTCTGCTTACTCTGACAAGTTTCACAAAAATAACGATTGTCCCCTTCTAATTTTTCTTCCTGAGTAGGGAGGGGAGGCAGAAAGAAAGGTCATGAGAACAGGTTACCGCCGAAAACTCAACCAGTGCAAGCTGCTCAACAGCTGGAGACTGAAAAGCACAGAAGTCATTTTAACCATTTCAGTCTCTACCCAGCTGCTTTCCAAAATAATCTCTTGGTTAAAAACGCACACTAGTAAATGCACTGTACAGCATGGCCATAGTAGGCTGCTCTCACTTTAAGGACAGTTTTAGACCCAACCAAGCCCTATTCCTAGATCTCTGGTGACTTACTACACTGTCAGGTTTGCTCCCTGCTTGACTGAGTTGCTTTATACCCATGAGGGCTATGGAAAAAGAAAATAATTAAATTGCCCTTTTACGAGCTCACATGGACCAAGCTAATGTCAAGCCACATTCTAGCCTGGAAACTACAATCCTCTGGTGCACAGCCACACAAACATCACCGTGCAAGAGTCACCGTCTACACCTAAGCAGATCCAATGGCAGGATGAGGTCAGAATGAGAACTCTGACTGCCCTGAGCAAGGTCACTGGGTTGTTTCACTTGAAGGAGGAGTAGACAAACTTGAAGTTCACGGATTCAGGATTTTAATGCATGTACACAAACCAGTCCTTTTTCATAGCAGACCTTCCGCAAGCAGAGCAACCGGTTTGTTGAGCACATCAACGAAGCCACTGCCCAACAGTCAGACAGCTCAGGTACAGAGTCACGTTTCAGGTTAGTTCTGTTCTAAATATTTTTAGCTGAATCCACACCTCGAACATTTAACATGCCGGACCTTAACTTAAGATCTAGGCAAATTTTCAAGTGGAAGTAAGAGCACTTGCAGCTGTTCCTGCAGCTATAGCACGTTTTAGAGCAGGGAATGTCTCCTGTTGCTATGCAGATGAGCAGCGATACAGAAAACACAAAAAGCAACCATTTCCCGGTGCTATCCATGACAAAGAATGCAGGGACTTTTTGTCTGACTTTGGGGACTTCTTTTACAACTTTGCTGGGAAAGTATTTTAACTAAACATGCGACTTTCAAGTCCTTTTTAAGACCATAACATGCCCATGTGCTACTCTCCTTGCTCGCATGACTCAATCTTCATTTTCTGGGTCCACAGAAAAAAAACATTTCCTTTTAGATGCGTCTCACTGACACCACTCAGTCACCTCGCTCTGATACCCACCTCAAAGGCTGTTAACTGAAGGAAGGAATTAAAACACCTAGCTAAGAATAGCAGGACTCAAAAAACAATGAGCTCGTACCTTAAGAAATTCCGTTATACAGTCTGTCAACTGCTTGTGCCCTTGGATGTTTAACTCCAGCTCATAAAACTTAGACACGAGTTTGGACTCCCTGCCACACTGGTTGCAGCTAAGATTTAAAAAAAAAAGACAAAACCACATGAGGACAAGTTCACTGGTTCATGTGTCTGAACTCCCCAGCCACTACTAAAACACTCCTTGAGCTACAAAATCAGGAAAAAAGTTAAGTCACAGTTAATGCGGTTCACACGTCTACACCACAAAAACTCTGCAAGAAGGTGTAAACAGGACAATAGCGTCTACCAGGAAAAACAGGAGCACCTGCTTACAACTCGCATACACCATTTTATGTCATTTTTGAGGTGAAGTAAAACATCTCTGAGAACGCAGGAATGAAAATACAACACCCAAGTACACTATTTTCTGGTTGCAGGACCTGAGGTTCCATTAACTCACTTGCAGGTTTAATTGGTAAATTTTCACTAAAGGATTAAAAGCAGCTGGAGAACTGCAACACCACCATGCACACAGAAGCAGGAAACCTAAAACCTGAAAACCTCTTACAAAATGTTTTGGCAGAGGCTTACCTGTCTGCTGCAGTTGTTAGGAGGGATCTTTCCACCCTTAAATTCTTCTAAAATGTTTAAATATTTACAGAAAGGTTCTTCCTGAGGACCAAATACTTACACTGTGACATAGGCGTACTCTCCACAGAATTGCTTTTGCACTATGTTTCGAACATCTGGATTTTTTTGTTTGGATAAAGTATCTTCCAGCAGTGACATGAACAGCTTTGAAAACTCCTGGGCATCCTAGAAGAGAAAGCCAAGTTTGTTAACAATACGCCACAGCACAAAGCCCAATTACAACCTTGTCACTAATTTACTGCAAATTACCCAGAGCACTACACACAGGCTGCACAGAGGCTCCGGCGTGCACTGAATAGAAAAAAAGACCAGTCTGGAGAGCTAAAGAAAAACAGGAATTTGCCTAAAAGGAGCGCGAGGCCCCCAGCGTGAGACCACGGCGTGAGTTAACCTGGCTCCTGGCCAGCCGCGTCGGGTGGTTTGACTTCTGCCCCGCTCATTGCAGGGCTCTAGAAGAAAAAAAACCAACACAAACTCCTGCAGAGCTTTCTATCCTATCAGTGCTTGTTTTTCAAAGCTCCGCACACAATACAAGCTGTCCCTGCTTGCATTACAGGTCAGAAGAAAGAAAAAAAAAAAAAAACCACACCACCCCAAAACCAAGAAGCTGTCTTATGGATTCATCCCCTCCTGCAAGGCTCAGGAGGTTCCCCACACTCACCTCATGGCCTTCCTCTTCCACTCTGGCTCTCCTTTGCTCTCTCCTTCCAAAAAATAAAATGGGCTTTGGCCTCTCCCAGCTGTCCTTTAGTATCGCTGGTTGGTAGTGACTGCTTCCTTCCCCTCCCGCATCCTCCCGAGGAAATGCACGGCAGTGCTCGGGCTTTTCCTCCAACAATCTCCCTCTTACTTCTCAAAGCACATTTTCAACCAGTGCCCTTCTCCTGAGCTCTCTTTAGCTTCAGCAACAGCCCCGCAGGACCCGTCTGTGGCAGTCGCCCCTCTCTAACCATGCTTTCTCTGCCCCACATGCTCATGGGACCTTGGCTGGCTCCTGGTGACCCGACCAAATGTCTTCTTGCCCTGCAAGGGCCCTTCACCCCCTCCTGAACTACCCACCTGGGAGGAGCAGCCCATAAAGCACCTGCGAAAGGACCCTCACGGCAGCTTTGGCTCCCACCCCGTACTGTGCCCGGGGTGGATCAGGCGCTAACAACACTCGCAGTCCCCACCTCATTGCTCCCTGGGCTCCTCCTGACCTCCCACACCGATGGGAAGGGCCCGGAGCACAGCTTCTCCCTCTGTGTTTGCACCGAGCACCAGAACCCAGCTCACAGATGCTAAAATAACATAAAAGGGCAGTTTTGCGCTGCTTTAAAGCAGGTAATCGCTCAAGGGGCGGCGCCTCAAACCTACCTGCTGCTGCCCAGTGTCCAAGCCCAGCGCTTTGACAAACCCAGAGGGATCGATGTATCGCCTTTTGCTGTTCTGCAGCAAGGCAAACAAGTACTGGAGGTGTTCACAAATGGTCTGAGGCTCATAGTCTAATAAAACAACAAGTTGCACAAGTTACAGCAAGTAATTTGAGGCAAGACATAATTGTTCCAAGTAATTTGCTTGTTCTTTCTTTGTAAGAGTAAACTTAATGATTAGAAATGACATGATTTTTAAAAGCTGTTTTAAATTACTGTAAGAACCGAAGTGGTGCATGTCAGCGACGACAGCAAAGTCCCAGTGCAAGCCAAATATCATAGCGTCATAGAACCGTTTAGGTTAGAAAAGACCCGTAAGATCATCGAGCCCAACCGTAAATACCCCGCAGTGCCTAGCACGAGCTATGAGCAAAGAATTTAAGCAGCATGCGGCAACTACCCTGTAGCAAAAGCCTCTTTTTTACCCTAAATGGTGAGACGACATTTAAAAATACCATAAAAACAGGAACAGAAGAAATCAGGCAACTGCCCTGACCCAGACTGCACCTATAGCCCCATACCATACATGTACTGCAGCAAGATACATCACCCAAGGCTGTCGTGTCCACTGTGCAGGCAGCTGGGAGCCTCATTTGTACCGAGGACCTAAATTTTTGCTGTCCCACGGGATGAGTGTGGCTCCAATGTAGTGCAGATCAGCCCCAACCCATGTGCTTCCACCTCCAGCACCCTCATTAAGCTGGGCACCGGTATGGGAAGCAGCCCAGCAAGAAACAAACCCAAATCAGATTTTTCAACCAGATCAGATCGCTTCAGTTTAAGAAATCACTCAGATAAATGTTGGTTTGCTCCCAAAAGCGGGGTGAGGGACTCAAAAACAATGGTGTGGAGATCGGACGAGCGGTTGTAGCTTCACCCACCAATTCCCCCAATAAACGTTATTTCAAAGCCGATGCTAGCACGTAAAATTTTAGGAGAAAAGGCACAAAACGACCACCATTCACAGCTTCCACCCACCTTTGTCTTTTGGGATGCCCTCTCCAGCCACGTAATCGCTGCAGGTGCTGGGACACAAGTAGAGGGCTTGCCGGAGCTCCAAGTTGAGAAACCACATCTGCAAGAAAGTGTTCACGTAGCACGTGGCGCCGAGGTTCGTTAAGCCCACGAACGCGTTCTGGCGTAAGAGAAAAAGCAACAGTCGTCACTCGCCGCTGCAGAGGAGCAAGCGGAAATCCAGCAGTTGGGGTGGCCGCTCTACAGCTGTTCATCGGGAAAATGCCAATGGGGAGAAGTTTTTTGGGAAGGGGAGTGTGCGCTACCTTCTTGCGGCGCTCGCAGTTGGGGTCATCAATGTTGTGGAAGCTGTTCTCATCTATCTCACCCAGCCAGACGTGCTCCCCAATGCCCACCAGGCAGTTGGGGTTTCCCCGGCAGTTCCTCCTGCAAAACCAGCACCCATCCCAACCGTCACCCTCGTGGAAGGGACGCTGTTGTCCCTTTTGGGGAGGGGCAGGATATGACCATGGGTGGTGAGGACAACAAGGGGGACCCCAAAACGCTAATTAGTATGAATGGGGTGGGCCAGGGGTCCCCCACACCCCCCAGAAATGGTGGCTAGGGAAGAACAAGGAGACCCCAAGGGACGCAGAACTAGAAGGGGGGAAAAAAAGGGACCCTAGGGAAGAGTACAGGACCCAGGGGGGTCCTCTATATCTGGGGAGCCAGGCAGGGAGAGCCTCCCCCCCAACCCTGTGGAACGAGGGTCCCAAAGAAGGGAATATGAGGGGTCTCCATCGACTCTCAGGGACCCAGAAAGGGCGGGGTGCTTCCCCAGCCTCACGGGAGGGAGGAGGAACGTGAGGTC